TGTCAGTCCTCTAGAGCCTTGTAAGTCACAGTGAAAGTTTTGGATTGCTGTACTCTGTACCAGATGGATGCTCACTCTAGCTGCTTCGTGAAGAGTGAGTTGTCAGGGGGCAAGGCTGGAAATAGGGAGACCAGTGATGGGATAGATGCATGTCTGCTAAAAGAGGGCAGTGCGTGTGAGCCCAGCACCTGCTGAATGCTTAAATTTCACATCTCCTTTAATCTCCATGGCAACCCCGTGAGCTGCAGGTCCTTACTATACCCATTGTACAGGTGAGAAAACTGAGGCTTTGGAGATGTTGAATAGCTTGCTCACAGTCAGAGAGCCTTAACCCTAGCCCTAACCTTAGCTGATGTAATGGTGAAGCTGGGGTTCCAGCCCAGGCAGTCTGACTCCCGAGCCCATGTGATCCTGGGTCTTAACCATCAAAGGCCCTTTGAGTCCGAGGGCAGAGTGGGAAGGGCTCAGTCCTTCCTCAGATGCTGCCTCTTCGGATGGACCCCTTCAGAACCACCCCTCTCTGAGTTGCTCCCTTGAATCAGAAGGAAGCCCCCAGACCTGGGTCTGCCCAGGGTGCCAATGCAAGTGGGAAGTCATTCCTGCAGGTGCCATGAATTTTTTTATTTTTAAAAACTTTTAATTGAGATAATTAGTGAAGTGCAGTGCACTTGTGAAGTGCGTCAATCTCATATGGACAGATTAACGGGTTTTTCATATGAAGACAACCATGGAAGCACCACCTGGATCAAGGAAGAGAGCATCTCTCACCTGCCTGCCTGTGTGCTCAGTCACTTCAGTCGTGTCTGACTCTTTGTGACCCGTGGACTGTAGCCTGCCAGGCTCCTCTGTCCATGGGATTCTCCAGGCAAGAGTGCTGGAGTGGGTTTCCATGCCTTCCTGTGGGATCTTCCCAACCCAGGGATCGAACTTGCATCTCTTATGTCTCCTACATTGGCAGGCAGGTTCTTTACCACTAGCGCCACCTGGGAAGCCCTCTCACCTACACCCAGGACAATTTTGAAGGGTACAGTTTATGATTCAAGCATAGCATGTCTCTGCCCTGTACCAGGTTTTTCCAAGATCTCCTACCTCCCCAGGAAGGAAGACTCACTGGAAATTCCAAGTGACTCCCAGATCCTAGGCAGGGGTCCTTCAGGGCAGAGCAGCACCAAAGCCCTTGTCAACAGACCAAGAAGTGAAGAAGGCGGCGCGGTGAAGGCCCAGGTCTCTAGAATGATGGTGATTTAAAAGTGACTCATGTAAGCATTTCCATGCATTTCTCATCTCTCAGCAGTGGGTAAGACAGGAGGTCTCCAGTCTTATTACAAAGAAGCCTCAGTTTCATCATCTGCAAAATGGGGGGATGGGAAGGGATGAACCTGATAAAGCCGAGTTTCCTGCAAACTCAACAACCCTAAGATTCTCAGGGTCAGGAGGAAGTGGCAAGTCCACCCAGACAACATTTTCTTCCGCCAAATGAAAAAGCAACCTCTCAGATTCCTCCCTCTCATCTCCCCAAAATCTGACACTGGAGAAGGTGCACATGCTTACCATCCTTCTCCAGGGAGGAGTCTCTTCAGAGGACAATTTATATTTACAAGTTGCTTTAGGGTCAAAGAGACTGGGGTTTGAATTCTAGCTCTATCACTTACTAGCTGAGTGACACTGGGCAAGTCACTTCACCTCTCTGAACCTCAATTTCCTCATCTGTAGATGGATATAGAAATGGCCCTTACCACAAAGATCTCTGTAAGGATTCAGTGAAATGATGAGAGGAAAGTGCTTGGTGGGTGCCTGGAGGATTCTAGGTGACCTCCGAGGTGAAACCCCAAGTTCAAGCACTTGGCATCTAGTCTGTTAAATTCCCCGCAGCCACCACCCACAATTGCTACATTAATATGCCTTCTTTCCTCTTAGGTTAATATATGTATTATTTATAGGGCCTTATTATATGCTCAGAGGGCTCCCCTGAGAAATATAATTGTGCATTGGGAGGCAAATTTGAATAATATTTACAATTAATTTCCGTCAATAAAGCAACACACCAAGGCCTCTATGCAGCTGAAATGAGCTCTGGGTTGGTTTCCCACTAACCGCTCCCCCGAGGAAGCTTGGGTAGCTTTTAACTATCTCTGGAGCGGCTGGCTTCTCTCAGGCTCCACCTTGGTTCCCACGGTCCAGACACCAGGGCACTCACCCGGATGCGGCAGCAGCCTCCGGCTCCCCCTCCTGCCCCTCTCTAACTAGTCCTCCAGGACAGCCCTGGGCATCAGGCCTCCTTTCATCCTTTTTTTTTTTTTGGCTGCATTATGTGGCAATCGGGATCTTAGTTCCCACACCAGGGACGGGACCCGCGCCCCTGCATTGGAAGCACCAGGTCTTAACTACCGGACCCCAGGGAGGTCCCAGACATCCTTTAAATAGATCTGAGTCACCCCTTTACACATGGCTTCCCCTTCCCCATCCCACAGCTGGCCCTGCCTCCTCTCCGTCCTACCTGGCCGATGCCCATTATACTCACTTGGCTGCATCCCCCACCCGCATTTCAATCTTCCAAAGTCACCCTGCTCCCTCCCCCATCAGTGCCATTTCCTCCACCTGCAGCACCCTCTCCAGCACCTCCCCACTGTGTCAGCACCTACCCATCCTTCGAATCTCAGGTGTCTCTCCCCCCGGGGCTCAGCAGCAAAGAACACACCTGCCAATGCAGGAGATGTGGGTTCGACCCCTGGGTGGGGAAGATCCCCTGGAGGAGGAAATAGCAACCCACACTCCAGTATTCTTGCCTGAAGAATTCCACAGAGGAGCCTGGCAGGTTACAGTCCATGGGGTCAAAAAGAGTCAGACATGACCGAGCACACATGTACCGCCCCTGGGGAAGTTTCCTGGTCTTGGACAGGGTCACCTCCCTCTATAATATATGGGTGACACTTACTATGATTGTTTTCTGTTTGGGGTTTATTTTTTTAATTGGCTGGCACCACTGTCCAATGAATGAGCTAAGAGGACAGGACTGTGTATGTCCTGACCATCCCCAATCCCCAGTGTTGACCACAAGGCCCAGCAAAGAGGGGTATTAGAGGGATGCTTGTGGAGTGGGTAAGTGGGTGGACTTACACATAGACGGTTAAAGAAATGGATGGGTGCATGAAAGGATGGCTGGATGAATGTGCAGATGAGAGTGTCTGTCCTTGGGTGGCCAATGCACAGACTTGCAAGCAGTCCCAGCTTTTAGTCCCCTTTCTGCCACGGCTGGCTGTATTGTCTTGGGTAAGTCACTATCTGTCTTATATCCTTGGTTCCTAGGAAAATTACATGAGCGGAGGGAATTTTTTTAAGATACGGACTTCTTGTGGTCCAAACTTTGGGGAATGGGAGGTTGGGAGTTGCAGGGGTTCTCCTGCCATCCCACAACATAGCCGTGTGACTCTGGACAGCACACTTCACCTCTCTGAGCCTCAGCTGGCGTTCCACAAGGTGGGTGGGGGAGGCAAGGGGCAGGACCCTCCAGCAATGAGAGTCCTCACGCTTGCTTCGATCTGTTTATTCAAGAGAAACATTGTCTTCAGAAAGGAAGCAAGCAAACCCCCTAATGAATTATTTCGTGGTCGGAGGAGCTGCCTCCCGATTCCCCCTTGTCCTGGATCCCAGCCCCAGGAGCAATTCTCCAAAGCCAGAGCACCAAAGCATGTCCGGGAGGAATGGAGAGGGAGGCCGGGACCAGGAGCTGGGAAATCACTGACCACACCATCCGAGCCAGCACACCTCCTTTTGCAGATTTCTCCAAGGGCAGCTCTTGCAAGCTCAGTTCCCTCTTCTGTGAAACGGGGAGGACTTGGATGGGGATGAGATTGACCAGCCCGTGAGGCTCTCATGATTGGATTCTCTCTTCTCCCATCCATCCTGGGCTCTGCTTTCCACGCTGACCCTGGGGTCCAGCTTAAGGCAAACTCCTCCCTCGGCCAGAGCCTGGGTCCGACTCCCCTTCTGAGACCCTCCCTCTTGTTTCTCTTCCTCCTCTCTCCCTTCCCCTCCCTCTCTATCCTCCCAAGGGCTGAAGAAGCTGGGAACTCTCTCGGGCAGCAGACCCAGTTCCGTTTACTACTGTGTGACTCTCAACAAGTGGGGGCCACAGGCCAAACCTCCCTTTCTGCACCCCCTACCCGCATCTGATGGTCCTCTTCTTACAGGGCTGTTTTTGAGGCTTTGATGAGATTCTGGGCCGGATACATGGTAGATGCTTAATAAATGCCAGATCCCTATTCTTTATCATTGTTTTCCTTCTCGCTTCTTTCCTCCCTCCCTCTCCCCCCGCCCTCAAACAGCATCTTCTCTTTTTGTCCCTCTGCCCACAACCCCGTACCCCCTCCACCCACCCCACCCCACACAGGAGGCAGCGCTGCAGGACCCATTGGCGGGTCCTGGCCCCGGAGGGAAGGCTCTCGGGCACACAGCGTGTTGGCCGCCTGTGGAGCAATTCAGGTGAATGTGCTGTGTGAACCGCAGGGCCTTTGAACATGCGACCTGGGGGGACCCTCAGAAGAGGCTGTGGGGACGAAACTGAAAAGGTTGTCACGGCTGCACGTGAGCATTTGACGGTCAGAACAGGAAGACTGGTAGGACAGCCAGAAAGAGCGAGGCCTGGCTCCAAGGAGGAACACAGCTGGTTTTCATTTTGCTCCTGTTCATCAGCTTTTCCAAAGACAAAATGATTTCCTGGCTCCCCCAGCCTGGCCTGGCCTGCACGCAGCCCAGAAGGAACGAGAAACTGAGCCCCAGCAAATAGCGTGGTCCTCCCCCAAGTGGCTGGTGACTGTCTCTGGGGCCTGGAACCCCTCTCACTCCATCTCGTGCCCTGGATTCTTCGCCTGTGAAGTTGGGTGGGTGGGGGGTGGGTGACAGGGGCCTCTGGGCAATATTGAAAGCTCCCTCCACTCAAGCTAAGTTCAGACTGCTTGAAGCAACTGGAGGCCCCAGTAGGGTCAACTCAGAGCTGCCTTTCACAAGCGCAACGACCCAACAGAGTGAAGGAATAGTTTGCCTCTAAATGAGGTGCGATTCCAAACAGCCCATGGCCTCGGGAACTCGCCCGGCGCTGTGTAGACGTTACATCTGTTCATTGCATCTTGTTGGAGAAATGGCTTCACAACAAAGAAACTTGGAAGAGAACGGGATATGGACACTCGGAGGCCAAAGGGTCCTCCCTTCAGGCCTCCCTCCCTGCCGCCCTCCCTGGAGAGCTGGGTGGGGTGGGGCAGTGGGGACGGGTGTGTGTGGACAAGAAGGTGGGAGCCAGGGTGGGTGGGTGTGAACGGGTGCCAAGGGAGCTGGGAGCCAAGTGCATTTTCTCTGCCACTTTGGATCATTTTTTAAAACTATTTGCATAGCTGCCTTTAAAGCCCTTAAGATGTTAACATGAATCTGCTGAGGGATATGCATATATGAATGCTCAAAACCTTAAGCCTCTGCAACCTTCTTTGAGCCAGAGAGACATAGGTTCAAGTCCAGACTCTTAACAGAGACCAGCTGGGCATCCTTGGGCCAGTTGCTTAAGCTCTCTGAACCTCAGAAGCCTCATGCATAAAAGGGAAGTGATAATGGTACCTACCTCGGGACAGCCGTGAGGGATAAATGAGATACACATGTAAAGTGCTTAACATAGAAGTGCTAAATAAATGTAGGTTACCAGGACTGTGTAGAATATTCTCCGCAGAGGCATTCTGCATGACAGAACAGCTCTGTTCTTTTCTGGAGACTCTGCCCCCTGGCTGGCTATGTGATGCTGGGTAACTTTCCCACTGTGAGCATCACCTTTGTCGTTTATAAGTGAGATGATGACTCTGCAGCACAGCCCCAGAAAAGACAGCATGACTGCCCACAGGAGGAGTCCTGGGCCCGCCCCCAGGCCCTGTATCTCAGGAGCACAGTCCAATGAGCCAGGTTCCAGATTCTGCTTCGAGCTCAAGGATTGAGCCCTCGACGGCATCTTTGGTCCTCGAGTCCCTTTGGTCCATCTTTGGTCCCAGGTTGCTTCCTGCAGCTGATTTCGGGCTAGGCTCCAGCAAGGCTCTGAGGAAGTTGAGAAAGAAGAGATCCCACCCCCCACCCCGACCCACCACCCACCCCCTGCCCCGGAGTGTTTCCTTCCGAACATCTCCAGCCAGACTCAGTGGGTCAGGAAAGAGGGAGGAATTGCTGTGATGGAGTGAGTAGGGGGCTGCCTACCTCAAACCAGCCCCAGGGTAACAAATGCAAAGTGAGGACAGGGCTCGGGGCAAGGGGCTGGCAGCATGACCCCACCCTCAGCACAGCTAAGGCCTGAAGCAACATTGCCCTGGAGGGTTCTAGAGTGAGCTGTTTCCTCTCACACACCTTGTGAAAGGTCTTTTCTTTCTCCATTCCTTCCCGCACAAGACCCAAGTCTTCACGGTAGCCCTGCTTCTCTTGAACCCATTAAAAAGCCCCATGGTCCCCTCAGGACCTGTTGTCTATCTTTCCAGATGATCTAAAAGCCAAACGCGTGGTCGCAGGAGTTTCTGTGTTCTTATGTCACCTTCTCTTCCCAGGTGACCTGGAGGAGGTCTGTGCATTCCAACATGCACAGACCCGAAGAATATATTAAGAGCAGGATTTCTGGCCAGCTATCAGTATAGGGCTCTGTGGCGAAAGCGTGACCTACAACACACTGGCTTAGCTCTGACCTCCTCTCCTCACACCAGGAACAGACCTTGCAAACTGTCTGTGTCATTCTGGGAAAGTGCTCGGGTAGGTAACTGAAGCCCTCTGTCTTATGCCCATCCCAGTTCATGCCAGTGCTTTAGAAAATTCTCCCTTTTTTTTGCTTGGCGTTGGTCAAGGCAAGTCTCCGAAGATGCACAGGACACTGGTCCAAGCCTAAGTACCGCAGCATGCTGTGTCCACCACGCCCCTGGAGGAAAGGCGTTCCAAACCCTGGATTCCCAGCTCAAAAAGACTGCTCAGCCCCACGGAAAATAGAGTGGGCATCTGTGGGTTGCCCAGGAGTTTCTTGTTGTGGTGTCCAGAAGGCGTAGCTTTGAGCCTCCAAGGTTGGGAGCATCCACTGGGGGGTCTCCAGGCGAGGCTCAGAGCATGCCGGTCTCCCTCTCGTTCATGGATGACATCTTGGTAAAGCTCCTGTGGCTGGGGTAGGAGGAGTGGCCTGTGTCCTCACTCAGCGCGTTGACCAGACGGGAGAAGAGGGCCACCCTGAACTTCTTGAAGTCCTGACCCATGAAGACGTACAGGATGGGGTTCATGCAGCTGTTGGCGATGGCGATGGCGGTGGCCAGGGGCACGCCCAGGCTGAAGACGGAGGGAGGCACGGAGCCGCGACGGAGCTCCAGGAGGTAGAACGTGTGGTAGGGGCACCAGCAGAGGAAGAAGGTGATGATGATGGTCAGGATGATCTTGAAGGGCTTCTTGGTCTTGGCCAGGCGGCTGCGCTGCAGCTTGTAGACGATGGTGAAGTAGCAGGCGGTGGTGATGAGACCCGGCACCAGGAAGCCACAGAGGAAGCGGGTGATGGTCACCACCATGTGCCGGCCAGAGCCCACCGGGTCCACCTGGGGGTGAGCGGGCCACGGGGCGGAGCCGGCGGCCGACAGGCTGAAGTTGTTAAAGCAGGATATCTTCCCGTGCAGGCGGGCCGTGTCCCGGAAGACGAGGGACGGGGAACTCAGGAAGAAAGCCAGGACCCAGATGACCAGGCAGGCCGTGTAAGCGAGCCGGACGCTGCGGTGGTTCTGGGACCAGACGGGGAGGAGCACGGAGACGCAGCGGTCGAAGCTGATGACGGTCAGCAGGAAGACGCTGGTGAACATGTTGTGGATGAGCAGGAAGTTGCTGATCTTGCACATAGCCGTCCCAAACACCCAGTGGTAGTCCAGGGCGGCGTAGGCGATGTGGATGGGGAGGAAGATGTTGAACAGGAAGTCGGCCACGGCCAGGTTGAGGAACCAGATGGTGTTCACCGTCCTCTTCATCTTGCAGGTGATGATGATGATCACCAGGCCGTTGCCCAGGATCCCGAGGAGACAGATAATGCTGTAGATCACCACCAGGAAGATCCTGACCACTCTGCCTTCCAGGGGAGATAACTCCTCCAAAACCACGATGGGGTCCAGGTCATCAGGGTAGTCCTCGTAGGAGGCGTTGTAATCCTCAGTCTCCATTCTCTGCCAGGGGAGACAGGGGGCGCGAGGGGAACTTTGGTTAGAAGTGGCTTTAAAGGGCTTCCCTGGTGGCTCAGTGGTAATGAATCTGCCTGCCGATGCCGGAGATGTGGGCTCGATCCCTGATCAGGGAAGATCCCACATGCAGAGGAGCAACTAAGCCTGTCCACCACGACTGATGGGCCTGTGCTCTAGAACCCGAGAGCTGCCACTACTGCGCCTGCAAGTCCTAATTACTGAAGCCCGTGCAGCCTAGAGCCTGCGAAAAGCCACCACGATGAGAAGCCTGTGCACCAACATAGAGAGTAGCTCCCATTTGCCGCAACTAGAGAAAAGCCCACACAGCAACGAAGACCCAGCACAGCCAAAATTTAAAAAAAAAAAAAAAAAAGAGCTACTGGCATTTGTAGCCAGAGAGGAATGAACCAAAAAAAAAAAACCACTGCACTTTTAAAACACTGGGTGAAGTGTTTGGGTTGATGTGTGTACCGATTCATCTATCACAAGGAACTATAACCAACAAAACATGTAACTGGATTTAAGAGGTTGATCACCACCAGTGAGACCGACAATGTCCTCCCTGGCTGTGAGCAAGACCAGCTGGTGGCTTTGCTATTTTATTTATTTGACAAACAGCTCGCAGGCACCTACTATATGCCGGGTACTATTCTAAAGGGTTGATATAGGCAAAGTCCCTTCATTCTCATAACAACTCAATGAGGTGGTTACAAACCCCATTTTACAGGTGAGGAAACTGAGGCACAGAGAGCTTACGTCACGTGCCCAAGGGCATACAGCTGAGAAGAGGCAGGCCAGGAGTCAGGGTAGACGCTGACGCTTACCTCCTGAACCACCATGTTTCCGCTGCCTCTCTGGGACCCTCCCTTTTCCTTCACAGTCTAGTGGGAGACAAACACTCATCAAAAAAACAAAACAAAACCCTCAAATCGTGGAAAAATCGCGGTGATGCTAAGTGCAGTGAAGAGGTGCACGGTGCTCTGAACTTGACTCTGACCAGATTCCCAAAACCCAAGGGACAGCTGCGCCGACTGCCCCTGCCTCATCCTGGTCTCCCACTGCCGCCCTTTGGAGAGATGAGTTCAGACACAAGAACCCCTCACCGTTTCACTGTTAGGACGTCCAAAGCTCTCCAGGGTGGCTCCCTGGCCAGTCAGCCCCCGAACACAGCTGCAAACACCTGCAGGGCAGAGCAAGGCGCAGCAGTTGGCTCTCGATCTAAGAACCAGAGATCCGGGTGGACCCAGCGCCGGAGACAAATGTACCGCTGTTACCCCCGCTTTACAGAGGAGGAAGCGGAGGCTGAGAGAGGCTGAAATGGGCCCGGGGTTACCCAGCTGGGAAGTGGTGGAGCCTCAAGAATTCAGATCAACAGCTAGACCCTCCATTCCAACCCCTGTCTCCCCTGAACCCCCACCCCAGCACATCCGGTCAGCCCTGCTGACTGTGTGAGCTTCCCCTTCCTTACCTTTACCTTGGAAGTAATAGCATTATCACTACTGCATTTGTTGGGGAGGCACTAATAAACGAACAACAAACTCACTGAACCTTTAAAACGCTGGGTAAAGTGCTTGGGTTGATGTATGCACCGATTTATCTATCACAAGGAACTATAACCAACAAAATGTATAACCAGATGGAGACATCAGGGCCAACCCAAACCAAGGCAGAAACTGCAGACCAGCAGAGTCAATGGGCTTGCGGCCTCTGACCTGCAGGTGTGACTCTGAGCATCCTTGTGGCCACAGCGCAAAGGGAAATGTGATCCGTGGTGGAAGTTCATTTATGGAGAAGGAGGAAGCAGCTTAGGGAGCAATGTTGTTCCCTTAGCCTGGATTCTCCAGGGCATTTCTCACTGGGCAGGGGTTCGCTGAAGGGCACGCTGGCAGAGGCAGTGGGTAGCATCACTGTCCAGGGCTGATACAGCACCCCAGGGGTGACTTCCCACTGGCAGCTGCTTGTGGGGGCCTTGAAGGGAAAGCAAAGGGGAAGAGGGTGGACAGCTCCGTGGGAGGATCAAGAACGTGATGACAGTCTGGGCTCTCAGGGGTTAAAGCAAAGGCTCGGAGAGCTCAGAGAAATGGGATTGGGACTCTGAATTCCTCAGGGAAGCAGGGGGAACCGAAGAGACTTTTCACCCGGGATCCTTGGAAGTCAGGCTCTGGAGTCAGATTTCCCAGCTGTGTGGCCTTGGGCAAGTTGCTTCACCTCTCTGAACCTCAGTTTTCTTACCTGTAAACTACTGTTACCCTTGTAAGGCTGTTGCAGAGCACAGTGGCATATAAGGAGCCCTAACCCACTCCAGTATCCTTGCCTGGAGAATCCCACCGACAGAGCAGCCTGGAGGGCTAGTCCGTGGGGTCACAAGGAGTCGGGCACGACTGGAGGGACTGAGCACGCACACACACCCTCACACTCAGGCTGCTCTGACTCAGCCTGCTCCTCACCGCCTTGTTTCCAGGAAGTGGGCGCTCCTTCCTGTGTCTGTTCACACACTTGCTGCTGCCCCAGGGACCCCAGCTCCACCCTCCCGGGACACCTCCTCTTTGCCGTCCTTTCTTGGCTCCTCAAGGAACCTATGTTCCCAGCCTTCAGGATGATCTGCGGTCTAGGGCACAGCTGGGAATCATTTGCCAAAGCTGTTGTCTATTACAGTCCAAGTGGGCAGGTGAGTCTGGCCAGACCGTCCCTCTTTCTGTCCTTGGCTCCCCAAGAGCCCAGGGGACAGACGAGCTGTCCTGGCTCCACTCCCAGATTCCCCCTGTGATCTCTGACTTGTGCCCTTTGGGGACCAGGGAGGAGGTGGTGGGGTGATGGGGGAGACTCCCTACGTCACCCGAGCAAGTCACCTCCCCATCTCTGAGCCTCAGTTGTGCGATCTGCAAAATGGGACTGATAGAAACTCCCGCCCTACCGACTTCTCAGGACCACTGGGAGGATGAGTTAAGGCCCTCCAGCTTGTCCCAGGCTCGGCGAGGATGCCAGGGAAAGATCCAGGACACCGAAGTCGGAGTCAAGAACGTGGGAGGTCTGAGAGCTCTGTTTCGTGAAGAGACAAAGCATCCCGAAGTGAAGCAGCTAAAACCTTTTTTTGGCTGTACCGCAACTTGCAGGATCTTAGTTCCCTGATCAGGGATCAAACCTGGGCCCTTGGTATTAGACGCGCAGAGTCCTAACCACTGGACCACGAGGGAATCCCCTAAAACCTTTTTGACCAACATATTTGCTAAGTGGCACCTGCCAAAAATCAAAATCACTCTCTTAAATTTCCTCTACAACTTCAGACTCAGCCCTGAAACCAGGCTCCTCTCTCCAGGAAGGTTTCTCTTGGTGTCCCCCCATCCTCGTAGAGAGCCCATCCCAAGACCACCAGTATGAGGCCTTGCATCAAGGCCACAGAAGTGGAGCCCAGAACCAAGGTCACCTCTGAAGCTGACAGCCCCCTTTGTAACCGTTGCCAGAGGCCCCCCTGATCATCACCAGCAGATTTCCTGACCCCATATTAGGCAAAAATGCCCACCCCTGCACTCACCCTATAGCACCCTAAGCAATCACCTAATGCCACCCTTCCAGCAGGAATCTCCTTTGTCCTGAGGCTATAAAAATTGACTACTAACCCACCAAAAGCCTCGGCTCTCGCTTGAGCCGGCCCGCCGTTCTCACCGTCAGCTCTCCTGATCTGTCGGGAGGTCAGCCTGCTGTGCTCGCAGCACCCACGTTATCTCTGCTCTTTGTTCTTAATAAACTCACTCCCTGATGAAATGCTCTGTGTCTGGAAATTCTTTTCCAGACTGCCACGACAACCCCCACCCCCTGTAGTGGGTTAAGTCTTCCCTAAAAAAAGAGATAGGTCTACCAGAACCTGTGAATGTGACCTTATTTGGAAAAAGGGTCTTTGCTGATATAACTGATGTAAGGATCCCAAGATGAGATCACCTTGGGAGAAGCTGGCCTCTAACCCCAAAGACAAGTGTCCCCGTAAGAAGAGATGACGGAAGGAGATTTGACACGGGAACAGAGAAGCCACGTGAAGAGACAGGCAGAGACTGGAGGGATGTGACCAGGAGCTGCGGGGCGCCCAGAGCCCCAGAACCGGGGTACACAGAAGGGACCCTCCCCAGAGCTTGCGGGGAAGCCCAGCCTACGACGGCTCGCCTGCAGACCTCTGGCTTCCGCTGGTACAAGCGAACGTGCTTTTCGGTCGTTTTAGGCCACCCAGTCTGCAGCACTCTGCCACAGCAGCCCGCGGACACTAACACACCCTCCACTCTGGCTCCCAGGGCACCCGGCTCCCTACTCCGGGGCCCACGGTATTTACATGATTCTTACTGGCTTTTACACACAGCATGTTAAAAAGCAGAGATATCACTTTGCCCACAAAGGTCCGTCTAGTCAAAGCTGTGGTTTTTTCCAGTAGTTGTGAGAGGTGGACCATGAAGAAAGCTGAGCACCGAAGAATTGATCCTTTTGAACTGTGGTGTTGGAGAAGACTCTTGAGAGTCCCTTGGACTGCAAGGAGATCCAACCAGTCCATCCTCAAGGAAATCAACCCTGAATATTCATGGAAGGACTGATGCTGAAGCTGAAGCTCCAATATTTTGGCCACTTGACGTGAAGAGCTGACTCATTGGAAAGACCCTGATGCTGGGGAAGGTTGAGGGCAAGAGAAGAAGTGGGCAACAGAGGATGAGATGCTTGGATGGCCTCACTGACTCAATGGATGTGAATCTGAGCTAACTCCAAGAGATAGCGAAGGACGGGGAAGCCTGGCCTGCTGCAGTCCACGGGGTCGCAAAGAGTCGGACACGACTTAGCGACTGAACAACAAAACAACACACCTGACCGGACTGCGAGCTACCCGAGGGTGAGGACTGGTCTGATTCAGCTCTGTGTCCGGGTCGGGGAAGAAGGTGGGCGCCACGCGGGTCCTCAGGATATTGCGATGTCCTCACGGTCTCCCCCTGTGTGTGTCGGCGTCCTAA